ATGTGAGGAAAACCAACCTATGATTAGAAATGAAAATGTAACAGGTATAATGATAGGAAATAAAGGATTATGACAGGTAAAAATGCAGGCACCTTTTACTATATTCAAAAATTAAGCCAAAATGCATCAAAAACCTAAGTATAAAATCCTAAACTGAAAAAGTCTTTGAAGCAAACACAAAAAAGCATCATGATATTGATTTTCAAAGACTTCCTACATTTAATACCAAAAGCATAGAAAATAAGAATGAAACATATAAGTTAAACTACATTGACAACTTCTGGGTATCAAAGAACAGAATGAGCAGAGTGAAACAGTAGCCTACAGAATGAAAGGATATATTTGTAAAGCATATATCTTATAAGGGCTTAGGATCAAGAGTACATAAAGACATACTGCTCAACAACAATAAAACAAATAACCATACTAATTCTTATATTTTTATTTTTAATAGTGTTAAATGTCTATTCAAGTCTTTTGCTATAAAAATGTAGAAAGGACTTTCACAGACCTTTCTGCAAAATTAACATGCAAATGGGCAACAAGCACATAAAAAGATGCAACATTATTAATTTCCTGGAAATGCAAATCAAAATCACAGTGAGCTATTATCTTATATCCAATGAAAAACTACTGTAAAAATACCAGAAGATAACAAATGCTTGTAAGGATGTGAAGAAATTGGAACTTTTGTGCATTGTTGGAGGGAATGTAAAATAGTGTGGCTGCCAATGAAACCAGTGGGGTAGTTTCTCAAACAAGTAAAAAGAAATTTATCACATAATCTAACAATTCATTTAGGTTTGGATGCAAAAGAACTGAAAGTAAGACTTCAAAGAGATATTTACATGCCCATGTTCATAGCAACATTATTCACTACTGAAGTGAATATGTTCCAAAGCCTTGGAACATATTCAGTAAAAGAATACAAAGCCTTTATCATGCATCAATGTCAGTATGGCACAGGGAACCTGCTTCAATACACTGCACACAGCTCCTTTCAGCTGAAGTTAATGCCTGGAAAGGAATTTAGGTGGGAGCCATCAGCAAACAACCCTACTTGTCCACTGGGGAAATAAGCACCTTCTTTCTTAAAGGGGTCATCCTAACATCCACTACTAGGGTCTCCAGACTTAGCAAATGAGAAGCAATTAAAAATACTACATAGGAAATACGCATTCCTGTTCTTCATTTTAAAATATTATCTGTTATTTACGTAAAATTCAAATTTAAATGGGCATCCTTAGTTTAAATCTGGCCACACTCTAAATATGTTAGAGTGTAAGTAGAAGAAAGAATTGTAAGAGTATTAAAGTATCTCTCGTTTTGTAGTCTTATATTTAAATAGCACTAATTCCACTCTAACATGAGAGACCAGCAATAAAAATTGGTTAACCTCAACAATTTTTGCTTTACTGGGAATCTTGAAGTTATCTAATTATATGAATTCAATATCCTTCACTACTTTTTACCACAGGATCTGAAGCTGGCTTAAAAAGAACACTGAAAATGCTAAGGAGATCGCACTGTGGGATAGACATATATAGAGAGGGAAATGGAGCGACCGCAGTGGGAATGAAAAGGAAAGTAGGGAATGTGACACCACTAAAATAGATTCAAAGAATTTACTGACTGCATGATGAATAAAAATAGGAGTGAACAAAATCTAATAAAATTGCATACTCTTGATTCTACATAATAGGTAGAAAAGAGATAAAAGTGGTACAAGATATACGTAAAAAACGAATATATTTGGAAGGAGAAAAATTATACATTTGGCATACCATTTATCAGGATATGTAGTATTTGTGAATAAGTTAACTAATCTATTGCACCAAGCTGTTGTTATTCAGCAGGTGATCATTTTCTGCTAAATATATTACACCTGAGAATTTGTAGATATTTTTAACCATCTGGCATTTCTACAAGATGTACTCAAGATGTCAAATGATACTAGTAATTCTATTAGCTAAGAATACACACATAAATCCTGAGAAACAAGAAAACTTCAAACAGAATTTTAACTAAAACAAGTTTATATTAAAAAGTATTTGTCTACAAAAGCAATCCCCTACTCTATTTCATTTAAAATATTTACTTTGTTTTACCTACATTACTAAAAAAAATCCTTTAAAAGTAGAGTTCTGTTATTTTCCTTTAATTACACAAAAGGAGCAAACACTGTCGCTATGACCCTCAGTACTATCTTTCTCACGTGAGTTTTCCTGTTTACCCATTTTACACTATGCTGATAGTTGCTTATCACTAAATCATGATACACTTCACCTCACCATACATTATTTTCTAATTCTAGGTAATTGATTAAAATCACTAGTACATGTATATGTGCATCGCAGTAGGACCCTTCATAACATTCTCCAATACTGTGTCTATAGGGGACAGAAAAATATTAGTAAGTCAATATAAAAGATTTTTCTCACTTTCTTTCAAAATTCTAAAATACAATGTCACCTTTTTAATCACTAATTTTAATTATCAATGACTATTAGCTACACAGCTATTAGCATCTGGGGTTAAAATACCCACTATAGACATTAGTAAACGGAGCAAAATTTGGGCTATCCAATCGTGTTCTGCCAGTTAAAAATCTCTTTTTGCTACAGGACCACCAAAGTAAGTCTAACAGGATCTGTGCTGTAGCACAGGGGTCAGTACACAGGAGAGAGCCCTCCTAAGCCAAACTCTAAGAGTAGGCGAATTGTGCTGTTTACATAGCATCTGCAAGTCTGTGTCAGTGTGAGCTAGGACTGAAACAAAGGAATCTTCCGGAAGGCAAGCTGTGAGGGTTGGATATGTAAATAAGAGATGGAGATCCCTCTTTCTGTGATTTTAGCTTTGGCAGAGTATCCTCTCCCCTTCTTCAAAAAGTATACTGGCACTTAAAACATTATATTTCACTGTCACCTGCACTTCCTACCTGTATATATTATGCTAACTAAAATACCTTAGTAAGTCTTATTTTATATCTTTTCCATCCCAAAGGACCATTGCATATTGCACTATAATTATTAATAAATTATCTATGCATGGTTTACCCATCACAATACTTAATTGCAATGGCTTTTAGCTGAAATTGAGTATATTTCAAAGCTACTTGCTTGTTTTGTTAATTTTTTTTACTACATGTTTAGCAAACACAAGAATGTCTTGTTTTGGTTAAACATTATAAAAAGGCAAATAAATACATTATTGGAAAGAATAATATAATAGCATTTCAAGCCAAAATAGGAATCATTTTTATATTATCCATTACTAGTCGACTTTTCAAATTGTCTCTCCCTTTTTATGTAGTAACTGTGAATGCATAGCAAATCAGGAGGCTAATTCAGTAACTTTCCTGGATCTGGGTATTTTCTATGTACCAAGAAAATGTCAGGCACAGAGTAAACATAGCTATTTAAAATTGTTGCTAAACATTATATTAAGTTTCCAATTATGTAATTATTATAATTAAAGAACAGGTACAATGACTCTAATTTAATGGTCATATTACAATGATTAAATAGAAACACTTTCTTCTCAGCTCAGTGGATTATTAGGTGCTGTCTCTGCTTACCTGTATGTAAGAGGACCTGAGCTTCACTTCTCAATCAAATGATAACTACTATATTCCTTAATTCCACTAGTAAAAATTTTATTAAAAATAAAAACAAGCTAATGCTATGTGCACATTAAGCTGTGGTATGAATGTTCTGTAACTCTTATTCAAGATACTGTTCCCAGTATTTCCACCTTAACTTTTATAAAAACTTTAGGAACTAACAATTGTTATCTATATTTTAATGGTCAAGAAAACTTAACTGCATTGGTGATTTCTTCTGATGTGCAGAAACTTTTCAATAAGACGAGATCCCAGTTGTTGATTCTTTGAAGTATTTTGACTAATTTTACCTGCTTATATCTGGTAATCTGCGCAACTTCTGTGAAGATGACAATTTGCAGTATAACAACAATTGGTGAATTTCTGCAATCCCGTCTACTGAAACTATGTATTGTCTCTAATGTTCTTTTAAATTATCTTTTTTTATTCCTTTTAATCTTTTGATCAATCTTCTATTCTTACATCTGGTAATCTGAGCAACTCTGTTGAAGATAACAATATGTAATATGGCAGCCACTGTTAATCCCAATCATTTGGTTTGAAACGCCATATTATTTTTAATGTTCTTGCTTTGTTTTGTCTATATTTTGCTGTTTTTTTGTATTATTTTCTTTAAAATAAAAAAAATTACATAAAAAAGAGAACTTAACTGCAGTGAAGTTACTAGATGAGCTGAAATGTTCACAGCAACCAAGGGCCAGTACTGGTATTTGAACCCAGAGCAGTCTGTTGTCAGAGTCATAACCTCTAGGTCATACTATTTGAGGGCTGGGGCTATAGCTTAGCGGCACAGCGCCTGCCTGGCAAGCGCAAGGTCCTGTGTTCGATTCCCAGTACCGGGAAAAGAAATAAAACATCTGTTAGACCATACTATCTGCCCCACTGAAATATCTGCCTTTATTCCTATTGAAGAGAACATACATAAATATTATCTTTCTCTCCCTTATACATAGCTAAGGAAAACTAGAATAGCAATTACTCTTCACTGTTAATGACAGCCTATTCTGATAACAGGCTGAGTTAGATTCTCACACTATATACACCACTACCTCTTATGCTTATCTGTCATTTTTTCTTTTCATCCTCCAACTGATAACTCTTCAAAGCAAGGACTATCTAAAGATTGGCATAACAGCAAAGTGCTTGGAATACACTGTGGATTCAGCAAATGTTTGTTGAATGAATGAAAGTGTCTCACCAATGCCAGTGTATGTGCTGGCATTCCACCCTGCAGCAGAACAATTATATTTACTAGCTCAAAATGCATCACCGTTACGTTGATATTTACTTGAGCAATTATCTATGACAGAACTTCACATTTCTCTTTAAAATACTTTTGGAAAGAACACCAATAGCTATCCCAAGAAAAAAATCTTACCTTCTAAATCTTCCTTCTCAAAATGTGTTTTGAGAATAGAACGAGTCCCACCTCTATCCACAACTGCTTCTTCATCATTTCTCTGCAGAATGGGAAGAATTAAAAAGATTAAATACAAATACATGTATTCTATTAATTTCAGAAAAGAAGTTTAGCATGATCTAATATTTACATGTTTAATTTAATCATTAAAATCTATTTGTATGTGAGTATTCTGATTATCAAGTGTTGGTTTACAAAGGATACTAAAATAAATTTGAACCTGGTATGTTGCACATGCCTGTAATCCCAACACTCGTAAGGCTGAGGCAGGAGGATTGCTATGAGTTCAAGGACAGCATGAACTACATAGCAAGACCCTGTCTCAAAAAAATAAATAAATAAAACAAATTTGATCACATATGCAAAAAAGGAATGTTATTTGATTTTCCATGATATTGATGGTAGTCAGTCATTCCTATTGGCATCATTTGTTAATGAGATGAAAGACAGAACATAAATGGTCAATTTAGAAATGAGCACCTTTATCCCTAATACGGACTTCTCATCAACCGGATCACATTTTAAACTATACAAGGAAAATATGAAACTCCTTAATATTAACACCACTAAAGCTGTGGAGGGGTGAAATAATTCCACTGCCATTGAAAATTGATCTAATCGCTTGAAAGCAATTAGTAGGCAATTATTAGATAAATGACAACTCTAATAATTTTGTTTTAGCATAATGCATGTTATTCAGAATAGATGGTAAATCATGATCATGTGCATTAAACCTTCATTCAGTTTCCAGATGAATTCTAACAATTTAGAACAGTTGGGCAAATTCTATGTCTGCTGAACATTGTAACACATGTTCAAAACAATGCATTCACTAATTTAGTACTCAATAAAATAAAGAGTAAAGCATTTAGTATAATCAGTTTGACCAGGTAGGAATAGACAGCACATGAAATACTGAATGAGATGAAATATAAACTACTTCTGACTTTTATCTGGTTGTAAACACCTATGTAGAAACTCACTTAAAAATGAACACTGAGCACAACAGGAAAGTTGTGCTTGAAAAGATAAAGTGGAATGAAGCTATGTGTAAGTCTAATTATAGCATATTATTATTTAAAGAGAGGTCAAATTGCTTTTCTTCTTTGAAAGCTAAAGAGAATGCTGAAGAAGAATGGAGGACCCCAGCACTTTTTTCTGTCCACCAACTACTGTGGTGGATTAGGCATTGGGAACATAACATTCTTTCTTCGACTAAATGTAATAATGCATAGCACTGAAATTAAGAATCATGAGAATCCAGGAAAGAAAAAAATCACTATCCATTTAAGACCAAGAACAGAATAAAGGAAAAAAGGCCATTGTTACAAACTTGAGAAGAGATATTGTCAAACTACATGTATTTTTTAAAATGATACACAATTACTTTGCAGTGTTTTCATACCTAGACTATGAGATCATTAACCTGGAGAAGGAGAATATAATGGAAAATGTCAAAGTCAAAACACAATGGAGCAATTTTTTCTTTCACAGAATAAAACCTTTTGGGTTTTATTTATTCTTTCAGATTCTTATGCTAGGGAGATAATATAATATTTACATATGTAGGTCTGATTTATTTCACTTATGGGTATGGTCTATAGTTGCATCCATTTACCTATAAAAGCCCCAAGTTTATCTTTTTTATAGCTGAGTAATACCCCACTGTATAAAAATACCACATCTTTTTTTATCCATTCCTCAGCTGATGGGCACTTGGGTTATTTCCAAGATTTAGCTATGACAAATTGTGGTGCTCTAAACATAGGTGCACACACATCGCTGTGATATGATGATTTTAGCTCTTCTGGAAAAATACCTAGAAGGGCAATTACTGGGTTGAATAGGACCGCTAATTCTAGTTTTCTGAGAAATCATCACACTGATTTCTATAGTGGTTGAACCAGTCTACACTCCCACCAACAGCGGAAAAGGATTCCTTTTTCCCCACAGCCCCTCCAGCATTTGTTACTGGCTGACTTCTTGATGATGGCCATTCTTTCTGGGATGAGGGAAAGGAGAAAAGAAAGAAGGAAAGGGGAAAAAAAAAAATATATATATATACAAGGATAGCTGGGATAATTGAACTGCTGATGTGTATTGGTTTATTGAAAGGAACAGTTAATGCTTAAATCTTTTCTTGACCAATTTTGGATGCTTATATCTGAATAATTAATTTGAGGACAAAAATGTGCACTATAACAACCATTGCTGAATTCCTACCATCTTGATTAGTGAAACTCTGTATTGTTTCTAATGTTTTTTATTAATTTTTATTCTCTTTAATTGTTTGATCAATTGTGTATTCTCACATTCTTACATCTACAATCCGAGCAACTTCTTAGAAGATAACAATATGTAATACAACAACCATTGTTAATTTCCTATTATCTTGTTTTGAAATTCTGTATCATAAAGAAAAGAAATTCTGTATCGCTTTTATGTTGTTTTGTTTTTATCTTTGGTGTTGTTATTTTGTTTTCTTTTCTCTTTAAAAAAAAAATACCCAGTAGAGCAATCTACTGATATAATCAAAGAAATGGGGAAAAGATACAGGTTTTGTCTTTCAAGATGCTACTAATTCTCAAGAACACCTACCATCCTCTTTGCTTCTACAACTATAAAGAGATTTAAATCCCAGTAGGTCCCCAAAGGTGAGATATGAAGCATTACCTATGAAGAGCAGAGCTATTCTCCAAAATAACTTCAAGATTTTTCAAATTATCATATACAAGTCCACAGAACATATGTGGAAATAGCTAGTAAGAGTGTGGATAAATGGCAGAAGGAATAGAGTTAGCTTAGGTGGGATTTGCTGTTGCACACCACCTGACAGAGATTGGAGATTTAATGTTATACCTCAGGTGATTAGAAAGGCCTTCCACTGTTTGGTTGGTTGTCTGAAACATAGGCCAAAAGATAAACTAAGATAAGTTGTAATGCTTGAATACACTACTGAGGAAAGTAATTAATCAGTTTTTTCATTGGTGAGACAAAATAACCAACATCCATAATTTAAAGGAGGAAAGTTTTAATTTGGCTCACAGCTCAGAGGATTTTCCGCAGGGGGCTGGTTCCAAGGCAAAAACATCAATAGCATGAGGCCGTAAAACAAAGATACTCAGTTAATGCTAGCTGGGAAGCAGAGTGGGCAATACTGCCAGAGAGGAAGGGAAATGCACCAAACACAGGCCCCAAGGCCACATATCCATGACCTATCCAGACACATTGAGAAGTGTGCTCCATCTACCCTCTGGGTGGATCATAAAGCTCATCAGGTGGACATTCCACTCTAACCACCACAGTGACCAAAGGCTTAGTGAGCCTGAGATGTTAGCCTAGATTTATCATGTAAATCCTTCTTCTCACCCATATCTTTTATCACCACCTTGAGAAATAAATTTGTGAGAGGAACTCCAGCATACTTGAGAAACATTATTGTCTCTTTCTGTAGGTCAGGAATTTCAATGAGAGCCCTGTGGATGAGATTGGATAGATCTGTACCCCCTGAGAACCAGATGGAGCTATGCCATTAGTTCCTGATCAACTCTGTACCTACAGATTGGATCACATGCTGTGCCAGTGGCCACTTTCTTATTCCTAGCCAGCTCTGCATTTTATTTCTCTTTGTATGGGATAAGAAAAGTGCGAATCAATTGATTGACATGGTCGTGGGTAAGGCCAATGCCCAGGGATGGAAGAAGAGACTGTAGCAAGCCACTGCCTGGCTGCAACAATCCACCAACTCCACACTGTCTCTATATTTTGCTTCACCGTGGCACAGGGCAGCAGAGGTATGGACTAACCAACTGATCTGATCCTAAATGAGGATAGGGCTCCTAAGGAGAAAAACGGTGAGCCTGGAGGACCAGGGAACCCAGGGAGAAAAAGTACAGACATGGCAGCAGCTTCAGGGATTCAGTGTCCCTTCCAAAATGAGTTGAGGGAAACATCCATGGAACACTGCCATGGAGAACGTGCGGGTTAAATATAGAATGCCTGAGAATTTTAATCTCAGGACAGGAAGAACACAGGCCCAGAACCCTGTAGTGAGAAGCCAGCCCAGCCTGTGCTGACCTTAAGCCCAAAGGTCTTGAACCCCTTTCCCCACGGCCTACACTCAGCACAGATCAGAGAGCTGACTGCTTTTTTCAATGAGAGCAAGGATACGCCTCGGTTGGGATGATCACCAGAGTCATTACCACAGTCTGCACAGGGGACATGGGGGCCTCTGGTGCAAGGAAAGCACCTCACAAACCAATAGTCCCTGAAGTTAGGTGGAGAAAATCCTGATTTGATGGATTCCAAGACAGCAGATCCTGGAAAGAAACCGCTTGTTGAAAAATGCAGAAGAATTGTTTTGACTCAATCTTTTTTTAAATTTTTAAATTTCTTATTATTTCTCTCTTGGATCATTGGGTTTTGGAGGTAGGGCTTTTCTCCTGTTTTCCCCCTCTTTTTTATTAAGCCTTTTAACCTTTTTTCTCCATATCTTTCAAAATTTTCCATATTTTGCTGCTTTTCTTTTCTTCTTCTTTTTCTTCTCTATGAATATTTTTGAATACTGTTAATCTCCTTTCATTACTCAAAACAATCCCCTACATCACTTTTCTCTCCTTCCTCTCATCTTCCATTGATTGATTTTTCAAATTTTAACTTTTTCTATTCTCCAGTTTCCCATCCCTTCTACTTTTACTAGTATAGCTATTAGAGTTCTGAATCTTTAGATATCTATCTAACTCTATTCTATTAGTGTTCTGTTGTTAGTGGAGGTAGAGTTGTTCCAACTAGTAGATATTTGCAGTAGGTCAATATTTGATTTGACTTAGTGATTATGCTACAGTTATAGATCTCTTTACAATGGCTAAGGGTGGTATATGATTAATTTGTAGGATATGTCCATACCAAGTTTGTTTTTTACACTATTATTGGTGATTTTATTACCAGAGCCAAGGTGATAGAGTTGTTGCTGTTAACTGTTCTTTTTCTGGATACCACAGCCCATTCCCAGTCTGGGGTAATGGATGGAGAATTATGTAA